GAAAGAAAGTTGTATCTAAAACCAACAAACCTGCGGTGCTTGTGAACGGATAGTTGATTCAAAATTATGCGGATAAAAAGGAACATCATCATAATTATAAAAGTGTGAAAATCTCTGACTTGAACTAACATGCCCCCTGTCTCTTGAGAATTCCATTGGTGGAGACATAGTCTGCATTTGGGACATTGCATTTTGACCCCCCGCAGATGAACAACCAATCATCTAAAAAATGACACGTCGAATAAAGAAAAAATTTCATCATAAGGTATCCCATATAGTTTTTGTGATATAATAGTATGCTTACCCCATCATTATGTGAATTTGAATCGCCTTTTGATGTTTTTTTTCTTCAGATCCTGACTAGCACTAGGTTTGCACATTAATCCCTGTAATAAGAAGAATTACTATATATATACACATATCCATTATTATGATGAAATAAATTATGACTTTTCAAATACAAAATACTCACACGATCAGATCTTGAACTAGATTCTGAGCAGTTTGAAGGAGATGATTCACTAGCATGCTTATCATTTTCCTTCCTACATGTTCTTGCGTTGTGTTTTGTGCTACCGCACTTTGAACAATGCCTCAACCTCTTAATGTTGAGTTTTTTTCTTTTTTGGAGCTCCTTTAGTCTTTACTATATTCGGGTCGCCTATGTGCTTAGGCGATGAACCACTTGCACCAATGGGATCTTCTGAATTCTTCATCTCCAACAACTCATATTTTTTAGTAGGCTACATTAAGTCATCCATTTTTTTGTATAACTCACTCCTTTTTGCGGCAACCTTGCAAAACCTCATACACGCGCCACTATAGCCTGCAAAGCGAGCTGCCACCAAGGCATCAGAATCTAAGGATTCAGACGACATCAAAGAAGCTTTAGCATTTCTTGACCAACGTGTTAGAACTAAATGACGCGGAATATGGTCCAGATGCTCCTCTTTCATAGCACAAATAATATGTGAGCACGGAACTTCGCGAGACTCAAATCGCTTACATGCACATAAAAATTCCACCTTTTCAGATTGATAGAGCACTTCAGTTTCATAATTAGGATCACAATACTTCGTCAATCGGAATATGACTTGCTCTCCGTTTACTACTCGCTCTTCAACAATTAATGAACAGCCCTTTATAATCTGCTCTTTCACTTCTTGAAAAATCTCCCCCGTAAAGATTTTTGCAGCGTCCTCCTCTATCTTTCGAAGTGATGTTGTTAGCTCCGGTGCTGCATATGAAGATCTAAAATCAGCAACAAACTCATTATTTCTATACTGTCTCAAGGCTTGCTCAAAATTATGCATAAATTAAAAAAAAAACTGCACTTCTTCCTAATATATGCCTTAATGATTACATTAATGGATTCACATTGAGATGTAGTCCGTAGACGACCAAAAAAACTGATCCCGTAGATAAGCAGTGGCCCACAAATATCTATTATTGTAGGTTTTGGATACCCATTTGTTCTCCACAAGGTCATGTCGCTAGGGCAGAGCACGGGTCGGGTTCGGGCGGGTCGGGTTCAAAAATGGTAAACCCGTTCGGGTATCGGTTTGATAATTTCAAACCCTACCCGATCAAAAAAATTATCGGGTTTTTCGGGTTGAAAAAGTTCGGGTTTCGGTCGGGTTGATTCCGTTTTCGGGTCCATTCAGATTTTAATTTATTATTGTTGAAATTGTGATAAATAAAATGGTAATTGGTAAAAATTATTATTCAAAGTTATATTAATATAACATTCAAAGTAATAGTTGTATAAATACGGTAATCGACATATTTGAACATGTAAAATAATAATATATGGTGATTGGCATATTTGATATTGTGATAAATAAAATGATAATTGGTCAAAATATCATTCAAAGTCATAACAATACAACATTCAAACTTATAGTTTTACAATTTTTTTTTAGTATATATATACAAATTTTTTATTTTTACCCCCCCAACATTTAATTCTCGCCCCTCCAAGAAAAATTTTGAACCCCCCCAAAAAATATTTTCTCCCCCAAAGCATAGCCCACTCGCAGAAACCCAATTGTTTAAGAGCCTAAAAAAATAGAAATTTTACAAGTAAAATTATATCAACTCACTCCAAAATTTATTCCTCATTAACCCCCCCCCCCCCCCAAAAATCTAATCCCAGCCCACCGCCTAGACCAAACCAATGAAAAACATGCGCACCTAGAAGAAAGAAACGGAAAGATCGATTATTTTTAAATGATTGTCCTTATGCCTACTATGTTCATTGCTTAGCACATCAGTTGCAATTAGCATTGGTTGCTGCTTCTAGAGAGGTGAAATATGTGCACAATTTTTTCATCGATTCAGTCTTTATTATTAATGTGACTAATTCTTCTTGCAAACGAAGTGATGAATTAAAGGAAGCTCAAGCACTTGAAATTGCAAGAATGTTGGAAATTGGTGAGCTTGAAACAAGCAGAGGACTTAATTAGGTTGGTACATTACAACAAGCTGGGGAAACTCGTTGGAGCTCACATTTCAATACTGTTTGCAGTTTGATTAGGATGTTTGCTGCAACTTGTTCTGTTTTAGAAGATGTTGAAGAGAATGGCAATAACTATTCTACTCGTGGAAATGCAGCTAGAGAACTTAAGAAAATTAAATCTTTTGATTTTGTTTTCTTGTTGCATCTTATTAAAGAAATTATGGGCATTACAGATCTTCTATGTCAGCATATACAGAAGAAGTGCCAAGACATAGTAAATGCTATGCATTTGGTGTCAAGCACCAAAATGTTGGTCCAAAAGTTAAGGGAGGGTGGATGGGATAACTTCTTAGAAATTGTTAAAGAGTTTTGCACAAAGCATGAAATTGAAGTTACTAATATGAAGTCTCCTTATGCGGTAAAAAGCAAACGCCATGATCAAGAAGGGTTTGATATTGAACGTCACTATCGGGTTGATATGTTTTACGCAGCCATAGATTCATAATTGTTGGAGCTGAATAGCAGATTCGGTGATCAGATAATGGATCTTCTTACTCTTAGTGGTGCTTTGGATCCTAAGGACTCATATAAGTCTTTTAACATTGATGATATCCGTTCTTTGGTGGATAAATATTACCCCTTTGATTTTATTGAGCAGGAGAAGGTGAGCTTGAGGTTTCAATTGCAACATTATAAGCTCAATGTTCTAAACCATCCAAAGTTGGGGAATTTTTCTTCAATGGGTGAACTTTGTCAAAGATTAGCGGAGACGGAGATGTCAAAAGTGTACTTGCTTAGCTTGTTGATAAATTGATCCGACTTTTGTTGACTCTACCGGTTTCGACAACAACAACCGAAAGGATTTTTTCCGCAATGAAAATTATAAAAACAAAGGTTCGCAATAAAATGGAGGATGAGTATGTTGCAGACAACCTTATTGTTTATATTGAAAGAGAAATTGCTAAAACTTTTGACTAAAAAGCCGTTATTGAGGAATTTATCTCGTTGGAGAAGCGTTGGGTACAATTCTAAGGTACTAACTTTAACTATTTTGTAATAATATATTTGTCTCTTCTTCTATTGTAATGCTTCATTTAATTACTACTCCGTATTATATTAAGGTTATAACTTATAATAATAATCGCCTAGTTTTTTTGATAAATTATCGCCCCCCCAATGTCAATTTCCTGGGTCCGCCCCTGATGTCGGCAATTGGAATATTTGAATATGAATAATATGGTAATTGACATTAAATAATTGAAATATTTGAACATGCATAATAATTCAAAGTAGTATATATACTACCCTAGTTCGGGTTTTCGGGCGGGTCGGGTAGCATAATTGGTAACCCTACCCGCTACCCGCTTAACTCTCGGGTTGCAAAAATCGGATCGGGTTTGGGTCATTCGGGTCGGGTTATCCGACCCAAAAAATAAAATCGGATATATCCGATCGGGTGAATCGGGTAGGGTCGGGTTTGCTCTCCCCTACATGTCGCACAATCATATCTTTCCAAAATTCCTCAAATCTCTCCCGCGTAAAAATTGAATACATGGCATTCTTGAAATCCTTTAGAAACGGAGCGATCTTCACATTCTCACAAGCATAGATGTCCCCACTTCCACTTTTTGTCGTCACCTGACTTCCTTATTCTTCCAAACCTTTTCATCCATTGCCTTCCAAATACTCCATAAACAACAAATAAAATGACAAAGTTCCTTGTGCTGCAAATTTTCAAAGAAGCTTTTAATCCGTTCCCCAAACGTGGTGCCCTGTCTAATTTTTTTACCCCCATCTGCCTCCAAACATAAATAGCCATTGGACATTTCTGGAACAAATGGTCCTCAGATTCTTCTTCAACATCACAGAACTTGCAGAGCACAAGAATATCCACCCTCCTATGGCGCATGAGTAAAAATGTTTTGAAATTTTAAAATATGAATACTTTCTAAAAATATTAATTCTGATTTTTTAATTGGACTGATTCTAATCCTATACCAAACTAATATAGATCACAACTAGCAAAATTTAAAAGTACAATTGCAAACATATACTCCGTATAAAACAGACATCTAACATACCATTTCAAAGTCAATCATAAATTTAAGTCTAATTTAAAATATTCTTATTGCTATGCTTGAAAAACACAATGACATTATAATGTCATAATTAACTAAAATACGATAATGTCAAATTGTGAGTGAAATTTGATGTTAGAAAGTTACTGCTTAGAAATAATTACATAAAATATGATCAAAATAAAGATGATTTACAAAAATATGGCTAGTTACTAGAGTAATAATGAAATCATAGTAATTCAGGTTAAGTTTTGAATTTAAGTTACCACAACACTATGTTAAATATTAAATAGTCATATTTACGTAAATAAGTTTTATTTTATTAATTTTCTTATAAAAAATCCTAATATTTTTGGAAAATGACCTTTAAGAATTTGAGATTTAATTGAACGTTTTAAAATTACAAGGAAGTAATTGACCTTTTATATGGAGTATTTTGGTTGGTTTTTCTTTATTAATCATGACTCAATCAAAAACTTAAAAAAACACAACCCTTCGGTGGCGGCATCCGGCGATCGTTGTACGCCTCGTCTCTAACGATCTGGCATCCACTCTGCTTCTTCTAACGGGACCTGAACTTAGATCTTCGGACCTCCAATAAGATTCCAACAACATTCTTTCACCTCTCTCCGTAAGCATGCCTCTGTTTTTAATATAAAAACGTTTTTCTTCTATTATTTCAATGCTATTCTGAACTCTTGTTCCTACTTGGCTTTTTTTGTTATTCTTTTCTATTGCAACTGCTCACCATTTGTTAACATATTTTTTTTATTATTATTTTGGATGCTAATTCTATGGTTCTATGTTGAGTAGGTTTAGTATTTTTTCGTAGGGGTGGGATGGGTCCGGTCTGTGTCAGGTTTTAGCTAAACCCAGAAATTACCCTGAACTCCGGAAGGTTTCGGTTTATGAAAATTAGGAACCGGAACAAAGTCCATTATATTTGGTCCGAGTCAGGTTTTTGGTAGCCCAGGTTCGGTCCGGGTTCGGGTTGGGCCTGTTAAAGCCCGAACATGAAATATCTCATTGTTCTTTTATATTTTAACACCTATTTTCAAACAAAATTAATCAAAAATACAAACTGCAAATAATAGCACAAATAAAATTTCTTAAAAATATTACGAAATAAAACTTATAGATAAAAATGTGACTAGAGTTGCTATAAATATATTTTCATGCTTATTACGCTAAACAAATTCAACATATTTGTAGTCACTAAAAATTCCTAAATCATTTTTTATCCACCGTGATTATAATCATATATTAGGAAATATTTATAAATTTATATTCATATATTATATTAGTTTTATATTAAAGCTAGTTGTTTCGGATTTTTATCGGCCCGGACCGGGTTATAGATTTTAAAGCCTGTTAATGAGCCCGAAATTTTGGGTTCGGTCCGCTTTTTTTTAATTCGGGCTGGTTAAAAAGAAAAAACCCGGTCCGGGATCATAATTCGGGTCGGTCCAGGGTCGGTTTCTGAGTTTCGGTTCGGTTTTTCCCACCCCTATTTTTTCTCATTGGCAGTTCAGCCAGTTCTATAGCAAAATATTGGTAGCAAAATATTGGTGCCTGTTACTTTAAAAACCTTTAATATCTAGCTTCTAAACTCACCTACCCTTTTATTGAAACATGGTGATACGGAGCAGACGCGTGCGACCGAAGACGAAGAAGCAGAGGGCCGCAGGCCCTTGATTGTTTATCGCAGGCGGGGTCGGGAGAAGCCCACATCCGTGGGCCAGGCTGGATGAAGAGTTATTTAGCTTAATTCTTATTTAATTAGTATTGGCTTTTAATTAGTTTCCTAGTTTCAGTTTATTTCCTAATATCAATAATTTAGGAGTTTCCTAAATTATTTTCAGTTTATTTCCTAATATCAATAATTTAGGAGTTTCCTTTATCCAAGGATAAGTTGTCTATTTATACCTCCTAAAGGGGCTTTCAAACTATGTTTTATGAATAAGAATTTGTGTGTGTTAAGCTCTTGAGTTTTGTCAACGGTGGTTACCGTTAATTGTTATTTTCCGTTCATATTAATTGGTCCGACCTGCCGGATCCCGTCCCGCCACAATGACAAGATCTCAAAGTGAACGTTTGCAAGAATTGGAGAACGAACAAAGTCGCACGGGCGAAGAAGTAACCCGACTGGGGGCCGAACAAACCCGAACAAACCAAACCCTCGAAGACCATGGCACGCAACTGGTGGCCATAAACCAGACACTCAATAATCATGGTACAAAACTGGAGGAGATTGCCGCCTCACTGGCGGCGTTGACCCAGGCACTAGTACCGCCGATAGTGCCGAAGACAACCGCCGGTGGTGGAGGTGGCATCGTGGTAACCACGCAGCAGGGCGATAACGGGCTGGGCAATCCAACGCTAACATTACTTCCGTCATTCGATGGGGGGGATCCCATCGGGTGGTTAGCACGGGCAGAACAGCAGTTCGAATTACACAACTCTCCCCCGGGAAAGAAAGTGGCTGCCGCAATGGTAGCTATGGAAGGAGGAGCGCTCTACTGGGCAACATGGCTCAAATCACGTAAGCTGAGTATGGGCTGGGAGGATTTTAAACAAGCCTTGGTAACCAGGTTTGATTCCCGGTATAAAGGGAATAAATTCGAACGTTTATCCGGAGCTAAACAAACAGGGTCCGTTCAGGAATACAATGTTCTTTTTGTTCAATTAGCAAGCCAAGTTTCGGGATTGTCTGATGATCACTATTTGGGTTATTACATGAGTGGTCTCAAGGAAGCAATCCGAAGCGAGCTACGTTTATTACGACCTGAGAGCCTGGAAACGGCAATGGAGTTGGCCGGGGATGTCGAGCACAATCTGGCCATTCAGAATGGAGGGAGAGGCGGACCAAATTTTAACTCAACCGGGTCTCGAATAAACAGCTATCCACGTCCAAACCCGGGTATGCTTTCAACTACGAGTAACGGCAGTTCGCGTGTCCAGGGGGGCAGCTTGCCGAAAACAACTGGGCCAATAGTGGGGACCACACCACCAGTAACCGGGACCACGTCCGGAACATCGGGGCAGGCCACGGAACGCTCCAGGTTTACTCGAATACCCCCAAGGGTTTACGATGATTTACGCGCCAGAGGACTGTGTTTCAAATGTCGGAAACCCTACTCACCGGGACACGAATGTCCATTAAAACAGTTAAGGGTGATGCTAGCAGACGACGACGAAGAGTTGGACTTACAGCAATATGATTATTGCGACATAACGGGGCAGGAGGAATTTCCGCGAGACGACGACCCTCTCGAGGGACAAGAGGGAGATTTTCCAGTCTATGCCATGGCCGGAATTTTCAGCCCTCAGACTATGAGGCTCCGCGGGATGATTGGGGGGTGCACGGCCACAGTCTTGATTGACAGCGGTGCCAGTCATAATTTTGTATCTTCTTCCTTGGTATCTCTATTACGACTAAAACAAGACAAGACTGGCAGGTTTGGAGTGCAATTAGGGGATGGGCATAGACAGGAATCTGAAGGAGTATGCCGTCAACTTTCCATTAACTTACCGGGATGTGCTATCAAGGCTGATTGTTTTGTCTTCCCGTTGGCAGGAGTGGATCTCATACTAAGAGTTGCTTGGTTAGCAACTTTGGGGGAGGTGCAGACAAATTGGAAAGAGTTAACCATGCAGTTCAAACTTAACGGCAAGAAGGTTGAGTTAAAGGGAGATCCCGCGATGTGCAAAAATGCAGTTAGTTTACGGTCTTTACTTAAGACAGCAGACGGAGAGTTCAGGGCAATTGTCGTCATCAGGGAAGCTAGTAAAGGGAAGGAAGCAACAACGGATTCACTAGATGATATCCTCAGTCAGCATACGGAGGTTTTTGCAGAAGTGCAGGGGCTGCCACCACGCCGAACTAGGGATCACCGTATCGAGTTGGAACCTGGGGCAAAACCAGTTTCAGTTCGGCCATACCGGTACGGTCATTTACAAAAGGATGAAATTGAGAGATTAGTCAACGAGATGCTTCAGGCCGGTATTATTCAGCCCAGTTCCAGTCCCTTTTCCAGTCCGGTTTTGTTGGTCAAAAAGAAAGATGGCAGCTGGCGTTTCTGCGTAGACTACCGGGAGTTGAATAAATCAACAGTGCCAGACAAGTACCCTATTCCGGTAATACAGGAGATGTTAGACGAGTTGGCCGGCGCTATGGTCTTTTCAAAGATTGACTTACGTTCCGGGTATCATCAGATCAGGGTGGCTGATCCGGACATCCACAAGACCGCTTTTCGTACTCACAGTGGGCATTATGAATTTTTAGTAATGCCGTTCGGATTGACTAACGCACCGGCCACTTTTCAAGCAGTCATGAATGATTTATTTCGGCCATACTTACGAAAATTCGTATTGGTGTTTTTTGACGACATCTTGGTATACAGCAGTTCATGGGCCGAGCACCGAGAACAATTGAGTCAGGTTCTGAGCATTCTAAAAATAAATCAGTTCAAAGCTAATAGAAAGAAGTGCACTTTCGGCCAGCCTCAGGTGGAATATCTAGGGCACATAATCTCGCAGGAAGGAGTAGCTATGGATCCGGCCAAAGTCAATGCAGTGATATCATGGCCTCGGCCGAAGACAGCCCGGGAGGTTCGAGGATTTCTGGGGCTAACAGGGTACTACCGAAGGTTCGTTAAAGGATATGGACAGATCGCACGACCGCTTACAGGGCTTTTAAAAAAGGAAGCCTTAACTTGTTTCCGATGGACAGAAGAGGCCGAGGAGGCCTTCCGGCAACTCAAGAAGGCATTAACGGAAGCACCCGTGTTAGCCATGCCACAATTTGACCGACTGTTTGTGGTAGAATGTGACGCATCCGGAACGGGAATTGGAGCGGTTCTTATGCAAGAACGAAGGCCCATTGCGTATTATAGCAAAATATTATCTGACAGAACTTTATCCAAATCCGCCTACGAAAGAGAGATGATGGGATTAGCTCTGGCCGTGCAACATTGGCGGCCATATTTAATTGGTCGGAAATTCATCGTGCGCACCGACCATAGGAGTCTCAAACACCTGCTCACTCAACGCATAGCAACTCCTTCCCAGCAAGTGTGGGTAGCAAAATTATTGGGTTACGACTTTGAGATTGAATACAAGACTGGCATCTCCAACGCAGCTGCCGATGCTCTGTCTAGAAGAGGAAAGGAAGTAGAATTGGCGGCAGTAAGCATTCCAGAATGGATGGGTCTGGCCGATGTAGAGGAAGAGCAGCGGAGGGATAAGGTCTTGCAAGAAATTGTGGAGGCACTGGCTGTTGACCCGGCAAAAGCGCCAGGATATGAAGTAACAGGACGGCGGCTATTTTTCAAGGGCCGACTGGTCCTGCCAACTAATTCAAGTTGGATACCACAATTACTGGAAGAATTTCATGCCACGCCAACCGGAGGACATGCAGGGGCCTATCGTACGTACAGAAGACTCGCCATGAATGTATATTGGAAGGGAATGTTTCGACGAGTACGAGATTACGTGGCACAATGTTTGGTTTGTCAAAAAGCCAAATACGAGACTTTATCACCCGCGGGATTATTGCAGCCTTTACCAATTCCCAACTTAATTTGGGAAGATATTTCCATGGATTTTATCACTTGTCTGCCTAAATCAAAGGGGTATACGTCTATTTTAGTGGTGGTAGATCGACTGTCAAAATACGGACATTTTATTCCCTTAAAAGGTCCCGTCACAGCCTGTTCGGTTGCGGAAGTTTTTTCTAAAGAGGTGGTTAGGTTGCACGGCATCCCACGCTCAATTGTTAGCGACCGGGACTCACTATTTATTAGCACATTTTGGAAGGAATTGTTTGAGTTGTCCGGCACTCAACTGAAATTTAGCTCGGCTTATCACCCAGAAACGGATGGACAAACGGAGGTGTTGAATCGCGTATTAGAGACTTACCTTCGTTGTTTCACAAGTGAGCAGCCGAGGCAATGGATACGCTGGATTAGTTGGGCAGAGTATTGGTATAATACCGCTTTTCAGACTGCAGCCAGAGTTACCCCATTCGAGGTAGTGTACGGACGGCCACCCCCATCTATTCGAAGATTTTTGCCGGGAGAAAGCAGTGTGGCAGCCGTGGCAGAGGTTCTCGGCAGCAGAGATGTTATGCTAAGGCGGCTAAAGGAGAACCTACAAAAGGCTCAACAAAGCATGGCGACACAGGCAAACAAACACCGTCGCAATGTGGTTTTTCAGGCTGGAGAAAAGGTGTTTTTAAAGGTAAGGCCTCATCGACAAACAACTCTATTTCGCCAACCATATAACAAACTGTCAGCAAAATTCTATGGGCCATTTAAGGTTGAAAAGCGAATTGGGGAGGCAGCCTATCGCCTGGCACTACCTGCCACTAGCCGTATTCACCCGGTTTTCCATACATCTCAGCTGAGAAAGGTAATTGGCGATCACCCGGTGGAGAGTGAGCTACCGGAAAGCTTGGAATTACCTGAGGAAATATTAGCTACAAGGAAGAAGAATGACAAAAAAGAGGAATTGTTGGTTAAATGGGCTGGACAGTCTACGGACGAGGCAACTTGGATGAATAAAACAAGCTTCTTGAGTCAATTTCCTGATTTCAACCTTGAGGACAAGGTTCTTCCAAAGGAGGATGCATTTGATACGGAGCAGACGCGTGCGACCGAAGACGAAGAAGCAGAGGGCCGCAGGCCCTTGATTGTTTATCGCAGGCGGGGTCGGGAGAAGCCCACATCCGTGGGCCAGGCTGGATGAAGAGTTATTTAGCTTAATTCTTATTTAATTAGTATTGGCTTTTAATTAGTTTCCTAGTTTCAGTTTATTTCCTAATATCAATAATTTAGGAGTTTCCTAAATTATTTTCAGTTTATTTCCTAATATCAATAATTTAGGAGTTTCCTTTATCCAAGGATAAGTTGTCTATTTATACCTCCTAAAGGGGCTTTCAAACTATGTTTTATGAATAAGAATTTGTGTGTGTTAAGCTCTTGAGTTTTGTCAACGGTGGTTACCGTTAATTGTTATTTTCCGTTCATATTACATGGCAACTGATTTGTCTTATTATTTAGTTTATTAAGATTTCCATTTAAAAATCTTGGAATTTGGGTGGCTTGCTAGTTTTTTTGCTATGATTCTATGTTTCTAACTGTTTTAGTGTCTGTAGAACCTATTTACGACTTTACGTAGTACTATACTACTTACATTTAGTATGATATATTAACTTTAACGATATATATAAGTTATTTAACCTAATCAGCCATGCTTCCTCTATTTACCTAAACACTATCACTATATTTCTATAGCGGTTTTAAACTTTTCTCCGTAAGCTATTGGCTATTGATTACACAGGTATGTGTAGAGAATTGCTCCAACTAAAGAGTCAAACTCACAAAAACAAAAACAAAAAAAAAATTCTTATGGGTAAAGTGGCACACCCAAGCACTACTGTATATATGGATGCTTTTCAGGACTGAAATGAATATATTTGAATGCAATAATTCTAGATTCTGATGAGCGCATGACACTAAGAGCTAGCGGGATTTATTCCCCTCCCCCCTTTAGCTTATAATGAAAAACCAAGAAACCTAAGAACTGGTGGTGTTTCCTTTTAATTGTATCTGTTGATGTATCTAAATTGAAAATGTTACACCCGAACAAGAGGCAGTCATTTGGCCAATTGACTCCTGCAGCTTTTGTAGTACCTGAGAAGAGAAACTGTTCTTACTAGCAGTTGTTTTCTCTGATTCTTACTCCGTATTACATTTGAATGTGATGTTAAAAATGAAATGATTACATTTGACAAGAAACCAAGATCGAGTTGTTTTGCCATCAAAGGGGATGCACGTTACCCAACCAAGTGATTTACTGGAGGCCATGGTATGAATTCCAATGCAGCATATGTACTTGTTGACAGCTATGTTAGTAAACCCGATTAACCTGATTTTTCACCCGCCTTTTTGGCATGGGAAAATAGGTCAAATTTCTTCTTGTATATAGTAAAGATTACTAGGACTGAAAGTTTCATTTTTGTTCATTCCTGAATTGAGTAATCACCATTCTATTATTTTTATACTGAATAAGTAGGTTTTGAAAATTTTTCTATTCTATTTAACTTTAATGTTTCGATGTGATTTTTGAGTTGCTTACCTTTTCGGTTGTTCTGATGCAGGGGATAAAAGATGGTGCAGTATAATTTCAAAAAGATTACCATTGTCCCCAATGGGAAGGATTTTGTTGACATCATCCTGTCTCGTACACAAGAGGCAGACACCAACTGTTGTGCACAAGGGCTATGCAATATCTCGTATCCGTCAGTTTTACATGCGCAAAGTGAAATATACACAATCGAACTTCCATGACAAACTTTCCACCATTATTGAGGAGTTTCCCAGGCTTGATGATATCCATCCTTTCTACGGTGACCTTCTCCACGTCCTCTATAACAAAGATCATTACAAGCTTGCACTTGGACAAATAAACACAGCAAGGAACCTGCTTTTCAAGATAGCCAAGGATTATGTGAAAATGTTGAAGTATGGTGATTCACTATGTCGTTGCAAGTCATTGAAAGTTGCTGCCCTGGGACGAATGTGTACTGTGATAAAGCGAATCACACCCAGTCTGGCTTATCTTGAGCAAATCAGACAGCACATGGCCAGGTTTCCTTCAATCGATCCGAACATTAGGACACTCTTGATTTGTGGGGTACCCTAATATCATTGAGATGTGCAGTATTACAGCTTTAGCCCATCTCAGAGCCGCCGTTTTATTTTTCCTAGACATATCCGGATCTTGTGGTTACAGTATTGCGCAGCAAGCTGCTTTGTTCCACAGTATAAAGTCTCTCTTTATGAACAAACCCTTGGTCATAGTTTGCAACAAAACTGATTTGCAGCCTCTGGAAGGGATATCAGAGGAAGACAGGAAGTTGGTCATGGAGATGAAAGAAGAAGCTATGAAGACTGTGATTGGACAAGGCGGAGAAGCCATGGACGATCAAGGTGTACTTCTGACTATGAGTGCTTTGACTGAAGAAGGTGTGATTTCTGTGAAGAATGCTGCTTGTGAGAGGCTGTTGAACCAAAGAGTTGAAGTCAAGATGAAATCAAAGAAACTAAATGACTGCTTGAATCGTTTTCACGTTGCCATGCCAAAACCGCGTGACCAGAAAGAAAGGCCGGTGTGTATACCTCAGGCAGTGCTGGAAGAGTGGAAGCTAGAGCAAAGAAAGCAGAGGAAGCTGCAGAGAAAGAGAAGAAGAAGCTTGAGAGGGATCTTGAGAATGAGAACGGAGGTGCGGGTGTCTACTCTGCTAAATTGAGTAAGCACTATATCTTGGCTGACGATTCTTGGAAAGATGATGTCATGCTGTCTAGATCCAGGTCAAGGTCAAAGTCAAGGCTTCCAAACGAATTGGTGCCTGGTGAAGGATTCAAAGATTCTGCACAAAAGTCAAAGGCTATTGATTTGGCTAAGAACTCTTCCAAGGTTAGGAACAAGGCAGCCTGCAAGGGTGAAGGTGATAGAACTATTCCAAATCTAAAACCGAAGCACTTGTTTTCTGGCAAACGTTCTAATGGAAAAACACAAAGGCGTTAAGGTAAGCTACAGTCTTTCATTTTCCCTTGTCAGGTTCATCTAATATGTAATCTCAATCATTTGATGCTGTTAACAATTGGGTAATGTTATGATGAATCAGTTTCCTTCCCTGTCAAGCATAGAGCTGATACTACAAACTTATATAATTGACAAAATCCAGTATCACATAAAATATAAAGAATGGCACAAGTATGAATTCTAGAGTTTGTGATTCACAAAAGTATGATTTTTTTTCCTTTCAAAAAAGTTACTAAATAACTTCAAAACTCTAAATTTATTCTCCCTCCAACACCACCCTACTCCCCCTCAGTCAATACCGCTGACCACCGATGGGAAGCACTTTGAAGATTTTCTAAATAAATGTTGGGAATTTTTTCAGAAAATTTCAAGAAAAAGTTGGTCAAAATATAGTTAGACAAGTTCTTCATTAGAATTCATTGAATTGACTATTGCAGTCATAGTGACATGTAAGACAGTATCAACTTGTCACATGTAGTGTCATGGATGGTGTTGTGGCGGTGGCATAAAAATTGACAGTAAACATATAGTTTTCCAACTTTGTTATCTTGGGAGTCACTTTTGTCCAAATATAAATTGTTCACTTATATAAAATTGAGCTTCAATATAGTAACTTTGCAGACTTTCCCTCTTCAATATTGAATTTTTTGTAGGTATACAAGGTTCTGACGAAATTTTGGAAAGGTGTTCAGTATCTCAGCTTTTGTTGTTTCCGGGAGATTGTTGGGATCAACATATGACATTTCAGTTTTTGGTTTTGCAATTTATTTAGTGTTGCTTCAATATGTTTCTGTTTTTTTAGCTGCTCCGTGAAATGTTTAAAGTTCATGTTCTTTAAAGTCCACATGGGTAGCTCACCATGTGATCAGGGAGGTTGTTGAGCAATGGACTTGGGTTCGAATCTTGGCAGTGGCAGTGATAGTTTCACCCAATGTAATGGTTTCCTGTGAATGTCAGATACTAGGCTGCCCCTCTCATTATATGTGTGGCATCGTACCGTACCGTAATTTAATTGTACACCACTCTGTCTGAACTAAGTGTAGGGATACAGGGGTGGGCTTTTCCACCCTTTGAGTTCAAAAGTTACAATGAGGACCCTCTTTAACAAGAACCAATATACTTGAGTAATTGTTACCTGTTCATAGGTAATAGCCATTTGTACTTTCCTATTCTCTTATCGGTATTATTTCTCTATATTGTCTTGTCCTTTTTGTTTTGTTGCACCGGTCATATAACATTTCTCACGAGTTATCTCCAGAGTTATTAGAGGACTTGTATGAAAAGTAACTCCGTAAGAAGGCTTTACTCGAAAAAGTATTTGGACACTACTTATGCCAGATGCAGATTATTTATAATTAGAGGAAGATCTTCCACTGCACCCCTAATCTATGCAGGAGAAGAAAAAACTTAACGAACATGAATTTTTAGTAGAAATAGAAATAGCTGCAAATTAGAGTAGTCTAGTTACACACTGGACAAAGAAATCACTATTTGTGACATTTTCCTAGAAAAAAAAGTACTAGTCAATCTTGATATGCTTGCTTCAAGTCAATACATGGGTGGTTGCTAGTTCATGGGTGATCTTGAATGTGTTCTGGTAACCCCAAAGTAACAGGTCTGCCTGTGCATTTCTTCTCGTAAAACGCCAAATAACTCTACCTTTTTTTCAACAGTTTTATCAAATCATGAGCCGGTTCTCGATATTGAGCAATGCGTTCCTCTTTAACATTGAACTTCCGTCTGAATTATGAGTGAATTATGAGACGAAGAGTCGAGTATGATACTTGACAGTTGACACTTGTTAGCAACCATTGTGGCATTCATAGCTGTGGGCTGGGGCTAGTTGATAGAGTGTTATTTAAGAGAAAAGTAAGAATTAAGCTTGGTTGTTGATCTACTGAAGGAAGAGAAGAGTGGATTTTTTATAGCAAAAATGCGGTGACGTTGTATTCAATAAGATGTTCTCCATACAAAATGTGTATTACTTTGTGCATAATAGAGCATTTTCTATATCGAAAAATGTAGGCTAAAGAGTCAAATAGGTACATGAATTAACTTGAATTGTTCAATTAGTCCCTTATATAGGATGTTCTGCCTGGTCGTCGCCAATTGGGGCGGTTCCCACTGGAATTTTTGGATGAATTTTTTTGAGCATCTTCTTCATTAAGTCTAGTTTACCCATACCAAATTTCAGCTAAAAATTCAATCGGGAAGGCAGTCAAATGAGTTTTTGAAGATAAATGCGCAGTTAAACAGCGCAGTACAATTCAAAAAATCATTTGACCGCCTTCCCGATTTTATTTTTAGCTGAAATTTGATATGGGTAAACTAGACTTAATGAAGAAGATGCTCAAAAACTTTCATCAAAAAATTCAACCGGGAACTACCCCAATTGGCGACGCCGGGCAGAACCTCCTATATAAGGGGCTAATTGAACACTTTAAGTTAGTTCATGTACCTATTTGGCCCTTTAGCCAAAAATGTATCACTTATAATTCGTTGTGTTTCATAACTTTTATTCTTGCATTTTTGTTTTTAACTTTAGCTTATGGGTCCTTTTTTACGATTGCCTAATAAAGTTGTTTCCAATATTGTTTCTCCCTAACAAAACACTTATTAAAAACTCATCAGTTCTAGAATAACATTTGTTTTTTTTTTAATTATACATTTAGGAAGGTCCTAGGCTCCTAGCTAAATGGAAAGAATACAGTTCTCATTATTTCAATTTGTAGTTGATCGCGTTATTGCGAGTTATTGTCGTAGCCTCAGCTTGTTATCTCCAAAATCCAAATATCCTGCAGTGGAGCATTTTCCATGTGATGTGGCCAACAAAATCCAGGAAACCGTTTGTCCATTTATTATATATGTAAAGATTATACTCCGTATATTGGTTATGTATTCGAAATAAAATAAAAATGAATTCAGTCACGGATTAAATATAGAAATAATGGCGTATTAATGATTAAAATAATGACGGTGGAAATATATAATGTAACTTTAACACCATTGATGATTCCTGAATCCTGCTGGGCAAGTCCAATAATAAACCAGAAATGTGTTTACCTACGGGCCTATACCTCATAAAGTAGCAAGATGCGTGACATATTTTGTCCTTCAGAGTGAATTCAATTTATGTTTGGTCTCATCACTGCTAAGATAAACAAAAAGTTACAAGAAAGTTGACTAAATTAGTGGTCAGAATAAGCCTCCATGGCAAAAGGTGTAAAGTTGTGAAACCAAGAGTGGAAAAAAGAAAGTCCTAAACTTCTTATTGATGGCACTAAAAGTAAAACTAACTTTTGTTTTTGTGTCGATATTCTAAATATACAAATGTATAAAACATGTCTTTCTTTTAATAATGATGTAATGCATTGAAAGATTGGAAACAGAAAATGAAACCTGAATTACATGATCCGGAGCACTCATAACCATTGGAAAATAAAAGGTTCATATATTTCTAGAAATTTGAAAAAGGATTATCCAAGCATAGGCAGAAACAGACGGAAAAGAATAAAAAAACATGTGTGTAACATAGCAACTAAAGGCCTCCCAACAACAGCGGAAATGTGCTTGGTTTGAACAAGTTTCTAGCCATCCAATTAGGCTGCAGAACCTTAACATCAGTATCCCATACCCACAGTCATATATATAAGCCAAACACACATTTGTCTTCTTCCATATATGCACATCCATTTTAAAAAAAATAAAAACAAAAAACATAAACTTTGGCCATGGCCACGACAACATCCCCTCCCCTGAAAGATGAATTGGACATCGTGATCCCGACCATAAGGAACCTTGACTTCTTGGAGATGTGGAGGCCCTTCTTTCAGCCCTACCACCTTATCATCGTCCAAGATGGCGACCCTTCAAGGACAATCATGGTCCCTCCCGGTTTCGACTACGAGCTCTACAACCGCAATGACATTAACAAGATTTTGGGTCCGAGGGCTTCATGCATCTCCTTCAAGGACTCCGCTTGCCGTTGCTTCGGCTACATGGTCTCTAAGAAGAAATACATCTACACCATTGATGATGACTGCTTCGTAAGTTGATCGCTTAGATAGTTCAATGCTTTATATGTTGGTTTATACTTTATTCATTAATGTTTAATGATTTGGGCGTGTAGGTTGCGAAAGACCCTTCGGGGCAAGACATCAATGCACTAGAACAACACATCAAGAACCTTCTCTGCCCATCAACTCCCTATTTCTTCAACACTCTCTATGACCCTTTCAGAGAGGGTACAGATTTTGTCCGTGGCTACCCTTTCAGCCTCCGCGAAGGCGTGCCCACTGCCGTATCACACGGCCTCTGGCTCAATATTCCTGATTATGATGCACCAACTCAGTTGGTCAAACCTCTTGAGAGAAACACTAGGTCAGTCAGTACATCATTGAATAATGATACAATCCTCATCATGTTGAGCTCATTCAGCTAAATCGTAATAGACACGAGTGTCAAATTTTCACGGTACCTTAGTCATAATAAACATGAGTGTCAAATTTTCACGATACCTATAGCCACCGTGAAAAAAAATCATGGGTGTTGTAATGTCAAATTTAACATTAGTGTACAAAAAATTGATGTTATAATGTAATACATTCATGTCTAGGTATGCTGATGTTGTCTTAACAATCCCAAAAGGCACATTGTTCCCGATGTGCGGGATGAATCTAGCATTCGATCGTGATCTCATTGGCCCGGCCATGTACTTTGGGCTCATGGGTGATGGCCAACCTATTGGTCGCTACGATGATATGTGGGCTGGTTGGTGCTGTAAGGTAATGTTTTCATTCTTTTCTGGTTTTAGTTTAACTGACTTTGATATCATATTAAGACTTCGAAGTTCATCACATATACGCTTGTTTGAGTGAACAGGTGATATGTGATCATTTGGGATTGGGAATCAAGACTGGGCTGCCATACATATACCACAGCAAAGCTAGCAACCCCTTTGTGAACCTGAAGAAAGAGTACAAAGGGATATTCTGGCAAGAAGAGATCATCCCCTTCTTCCAGAATGCAACACTCTCCAAAGATGCCACAACTGTCCAGAAATGCTATGTTGAACTGTCTAAGCAGGTGAAGGAGAAGCTCGGTAAGCTGGACGAATACTTTGTGAAGCTTGCTGATGCCATGGTCACCTGGATTGAAGCTTGGGATCAACTCAATCCGGCAGATGAAGCCTCTGCCAAATGAACATTCTTATAGCGCATATCAATTATTTGTTTTCTAGTTTGCTTTTCTCATTGGAGTTTCAATTCTTTGGAGTTATACATTTTCTAACTCTGCCATGAATCTGTTCTCTATTTCCTATTTAGGCTCCCTTTGTTTCGACTAAAATAATTTAATGTGGAAAATGTTTAGGAGGAAAGAAAATGCATGTGTACAAGGATGCTACTCCGTAGTTCCCTTGAATTTTTTTGCAATGTTTCCTAACCTATTATAATTCTATGTTAAGGCCATCAGACCATATAACCATATTGGCTACTCCGTAGTTCACTTGGAAAATAATTTACGAATAATTTTAATTTTAGATAGAAAAATCACTTAACTAATCTCCAACCCTACACTATCTCCAAAACTAAAAAGAAAGCAGAAGGGACCTAGCCGCAACTAAGGTTTAGTTTGGTCGCGTATTCGTACACCACTTTTCCACGGCCGATCTTCGGCGGCAATTGGCAGCAGGATCCTGAGAAGGGGAACACATGTTTACTCTCTTTTTTAATCAGGCAACAGACTTTGGCACGACGCTTCGCTCGACAACAACTTCGACCGATTGCAGTCCGAATCTGATCCATGGCGAACGATTGGGAGAACGGAGACAACGCTGGTGGGGTTGAGGCGCGGGCAAATGCCTACGGGCAGTTGGATTTGGTAGAATCGGATTATGAGATGTGAGCTGCACCAACAATGTTTGATCCGGACGGAATGCTAGAGGTATGGGGCCCAATTAAAGGCCCGATTTTACGACAGATCTTTCATCAGTTGGGAACGACGGTCAACTTGGATCAAAGTGCCCATTTGGAAAGCTATGGAGCCACCTTGAACGGCTTGAAGCCTTGTCTCTCAACGAGAATGAGAATAAAGTCAGCCTCACTACCTCGGTGGACACTCCATTATATTTGAACG